TGGTCCAGCCAGTGAGCAACCACCCCTGTGTCCAGGTGAACACGCTCCTGTCCGTCTGTCCACCTGGATCCAACCATCCATATGGGTGTCTGTCTGTCTGCCTGGTCCAGCCAGTGAGCAACCACCCCTGTGTCCAGGTGAACACGCTCCTGTCCGTCTGTCCACCTGGATCCAACCATCCATATGGGTGTCTGTCTGTCTGTCGGGCCCTGCAGCCACCCGTGGTTCTAGTTGACTGTGGCACAGACCTCTGTGTCTGTCCATCCACTCATCCACGCATCCAGGACAGGCAACTGTCCGTGTGTCCAGCTGGCTGTGGCTCTGTCTGCACATCCTTCTGGCCTTGGAACAGTCCCTGTGTCCATCCACGTGCATGCACCTGCCTGGATGGGCACTTGTCCATGTGTGGCTGTGACTGTCCGTGTGTCCAGGAGCAAGACCCTGCCCTGGTGTCCCTCTGTCCATGTGGCCCTATTGCCATGGGGGGGGAGCAGGGGATGGGCTGTGCTGCGGCCACATGGACGGATGGACACAGGGACACTGGTGTGGGTGGATGCAGGGATGGTTGGAGGTGCAGAGGGACACAAGGACAGGGCACAGACAGACACACGGACACCTCCTTCCTCCCAGCATAAGCCCCCCAGACACCAGGTCCTGCCCCAAAGGCCCCACTCGAACCCCAGCAGTTTCCATACCCCTGTGTCCATCTGTCCATGCCCTGTCTGTGTGTCCATCAGGCTCTGCAGCCATCCCTGTTTCCAGTTGTCCGTGTGTCCAGCCCAGTCTCCATCTCCACCCCTGGAGGCCTTGAAGGTGGTTGAGGGGGACTCAGGCCTGATCCCAGCTCCAGACACAGACATGGACACAGGGAATGTGGAGGGTCTGACAGTGCCCACAGCAGCCATATGGGTGTCTGTGTGTCCATCCTGCATCCTGGGGGGGGAACTTGGGCCTGATCCTGACTCCAGGGTCCCCAGGACCCCTGGCATGCGGTCTGTGCCCCTGGATATGGGGCCACCCCTCAACCTCCCCCCCCCATCCTGATGCAAACCCTGAATGACCCTTTTCCACCTTCATTGTCCCCATTTCAACAGATCCCACCCCTGGCAATGATTCAATGAGGATTTGAGGAGCCCCCATTAGGCTCCAGCTCCGTGCCCCCACCTCTTCCCCCCCCCCCCCCCCCAAGCATCACCCGGGGGGGGGGGGGGGGGCAACTTTCCAGCACCATCCCCTGCTCCAAGCACCACCCCTTAGAAAATATTGCCATTTATTCCATCTCCTTCCCCAAATCCACTTTTTACACCCATTCCCAGCACTGTCTCTTAAATAAAGGCCAAGGGGGGGGGTGGTGAGGGGTCACTCGTTAGGGGGGGGCTGCCCCTCTCCAGCCGCCGGTTGTGGGGCCGGGGGGGGGTCGGAGGCAGCATCCCGGGTGCGGAAGAGCAGCTCTCCGGCGGGAATGACCTGCTCCGTGTGCCAGGCGCCGGCGGGGCCGTACTGCTGGTAAAAGTCCGTGTCCGCCTGGAACATGACGAGCGCCTGGGCCGTGTGGATGCGGACGTGCTGCGCCAGGCTGCTGGCGTCCAGGAACTTCTCCCCGCAGGAATCGCAGGCGTAAAGGATCTGGGTGTTGGGATCTGCAAGGGAAAAGGGGTTGGGATGGATGGGATGGGATGAGCCCCCCCCATGTCCCCATGTCCCCATTGCTGCTCACCCGCCTCCTGCACTTGCTTCACTGCTTTGGTGATCTCGGCTTTAAGTGCTTCGGTCTCATCCGCGGTCACGGCGGCCGCCACCGGCACCACTGCGGGACAGGGGGAAAAGGGATCAGGGGGATCCTGGCCGGAGCGGGGTGCAGGATGTGCCCATTGAGGGGTTCAGGGGGGTCCAGCCTCAAGGGCACAGCAATGGGTGCTGCACCCCATGGATGAGCCTCCAATATCCTTTAGGATGGCTCCAGGACCCTCAGGCTGCACATCATGGATACACCTCGCTTTTGGAATGGAAAAGCCCCAGGCTGCAGCCTATGGATAAGTTTCCCTTCCAGATGGTTCCAAGACTCTCAGACTGCACCCTGTAGCTAATTTTCCCTTCTGGAACCCCCACACTGGACCCTGTGGATAAACCTAACTTTTGGAATGGCTCCTGGATCCCCAGACTGCACCCTATGGATAAGTTTCCTTTCCAGAATGGCTCTTGGGATGCCCAAACTACACCCTATGGATAAATCTTGCTCTTGGGATGGCTCCAGGACCCCCAAGCTGTACTCTACGGATACATTCCCCTTCTGGAATGGGTCCAAGACCCCCAAACTGCACCCTATGAATAAGCTTCCCTTCCAGAATGGCTCTTGCCGTGGATAAACCTTGCTTCTGGGACAGCTCCTACGTCCACAGACTGCACCCTATGGATGTTTCCCTTTCAGAATGGCTCCTGGGACCACTGAGCTGCACCCTATGGATAAACCTCACTTCTGGGATGGCTCCAGGACCCCCAAGCTGCACCCTATGGAAGTTTCCCTTCCAGGAAGGCCCCAGGCTCACCCGTGAGCTGGGTGACGGCGGTGGCAGCCAGTGCCTCAGTGGCCAATGTCACCATGTCATCGGAGGCCACCGTGACGATGTTGACCTCGTCGCCTTCCTCCGGCTCCAGGATTTTGATCCCAGCCTTGCCCTGGTGCACGGTCTTCACATGGGAGCGCAGGTTGTCCACACGGTTGAAACCCCGACCACATTTATCACACAGGAACGGCTTCTCCCCTGGGAGGGGGGAAGAGGAGGGGTTCAGGGGGGTGGTTACAATCATAGAACCATGGAATGGTTTGGGCTGAAGGGACCTCAGAGCTCCTCCAGCTCCAACCCCTGCCACGGGCAGGGACCCCTTCCACTAGAGCAGCTTGCTCCAAGCCCCTGTGTCCAACCTGGCCTTGAACACTGCCAGGGATGGGGCAGCCACAGCTTCTCTGGGCACCCTGTGCCAGCGCCTCAGCACCCTCACAGGGAAGAGCTTCTGCCTAAGAGCTCATCTCAGTCTCCCCTCTGGCAGGTTAAAGCCATTCCCCTTGGCCTGTCCCTACAGGCCCTTGTCCCAAGCCCCTCTCCAGCTTTCCTGCAGCCCCTTCAGGCACTGGAGCTGCTCTCAGGTCTCCCCTTCAGGAGCCTTCTCTTCTCCAGGCTGCCCCAGCCCAGCTCTCTCAGCCTGGCTCCAGAGCAGAGCTGCTCCAGCCCTCGCAGCATCTCCATGGCCTCCTCTGGCCTCGCTCCAGCAGCTCCACGTCCCTCTTGTGCTGCTGCCCCAGAGCTGGATCAGGGCTGCAGGGGGGGTCTCCCCAGAGCAGAGCAGAGGGGCAGGATCCCCTCCCTGAGCGGCTGCTCACGCTCTGGGGGTGCAGCCCAGCACAGGGGGGGCTCTGGGCTCAAGCACACAATGAAGCCAGGCTGTGTTCAGTTAAAGATGGGGGGGGGGTGGGGGTTAAGGACAGAGAGGTTGGAGCCTCGTGCACGCACCAGTGTGGATAATGATGTGCTTGGAGAGGTCGCCCACGTTGACAAAGGCTTTGTTGCAGACAGTGCACTTGTGGGGCCGGATGTTGTCATGGTGGCGGATGTGGTTGGCCAGTTGGCTGGACTGCACGAACCTGGGGGGGGGGGAACACTGCTGTCACCACAGTCCCTGTCCCCAGGGGTGCCACACTGGCACCTCCACCCCGTATTCCCATCGTGGAGCCTCACCTCTTCCCGCAGCGCTCGCACACGTAGGGCTTCTCCCCCGTGTGCTGCCGCACGTGGGCGATGAGGGAGCTGGCCTGGGTGAAGGCTTTCCCGCAGATCAAGCACTGGCACGGCTTCTCCCCTGTGGAATACCATAGGAAAGGTGCGAGGGGGGGGGTCAACGACTCCGAGATTCACCCTCCCCAGATCCAGTGGGGAAGCACAGAGCTGGCTCCCTTACCCGTGTGGATGCGGACGTGCCGCTGCAGCGCCCCGGGGTCGGCGAACTGGCGCTGGCAATGGACGCAGACATAGGGCTTCTCCCCGCTGTGGATCCGCAGGTGCCGCTTGAGGTTCCCTGTGGGAGCAGACACGGCTCAGCTGTGGGGCACGGGGACACCAGCACCCCCCAATCCCTCCTTCCCAGCACGCTGGAAGCTCCCTTGGGAATGCCTGTGGCTGTTTACAGAGGGATCGAGGGGCACCTCGCACACAGCCAAGGGTGGGGGTAACGTGGTGGTGGGGATAGGCAGAACAAGGGTTGGGTTTGGAGGGGACAGAGAGATGCTGTTGGGCTCATTCAGACCCCTCCAGCTCCGCAGTGGTTTGGGAAGATGGGAGGAGACTTCCCCATCCCCAAAAGCTGGATCAAAGGCTCCTTCTAGGAGCATTCCTGGGGTGCAATCCCACGGGAGATGCCCGGTAGAGGGAGAAATATGAATGCACTACAGTAAGAGGCTTAAACTCAGGCTGAAATCCTCCCTCCGGACCCAACCCAACCCAACCTCCGTCACTCAGCCCCACGCTACCTGACGTGGTGAACTGCTTGCCGCACTCCCGGCACTTGAGGGGCCCATCCGCAATGTGAATCTTCAAGTGAGCCTTCAAATTCCCTACCTGGGGACAACACAGAGCGATGCAGGGACACCCCCCCCCCCCCCAAACATCATCCCATCCTCTTCCAGAGGGATCCAGACGGGAGCCCAGCTCACCTGGTTGAACTTCTTGTCGCAGTGGGGACACTTGTGCTCCTTGTTGGTGTCGTGGGTCTCGAGGTGCCGCATCTTGGAGGTGGGGTCGGAGAAGGAGCGCCCGCAGTAGTCGCACTGGTAGGGCTTCTCCCCGCTGTGCACCAGCTGGTGCCGCTTCAGGTTGCCCGAGGTGGTGAAGAGCTTGCCGCAGTCGTCGCAGCGGTACTTGGCCTCCCCCGTGTGCCGCTTCTTGTGCAGGTTGAGGAGGCTGATGAGCCGGTAGCTCTTCCCGCACTCCTCGCAGCCGTACGGCTTCAGCGGGCTGGGGGGGGCACGGCGAGGGGGAAGAACTGGGGTGCGGAGCTCCAGAGCCCCCAGTCCGAGCTCACCCACTCCAACCGGAGCTCCAGTGCTCCCCAGGCGAGTCCCAGCATCCCCAACCTGAGCTCCACCGCCTCCAACCTCAGCTCCACCACCTCCAACCTGAGCTCCACCGCCTCCAACCTGAGCTCCACCGCCTCCAACCTGAGCTCCACCGCCTCCAACCTGAGCTCCACCGCCTCCAACCTGAGCTCCACCGCCTCCAACCTGAGCTCCACCGCCTCCAACCTCAGCTCCACCGCCTCCAACCTGAGCTCCACCGCCTCCAACCTGAGCTCCACCACCTCCAACCTGAGCTCCACCGCCTCCAATCTCAGCTCCACCGCCTCCAACCTGAGCTCCACCGCCTCCAACCTGAGCTCCACCGCCTCCAACCTGAGCTCCACCGCCTCCAACCTGAGCTCCACCGCCTCCAATCTCAGCTCCACCGCCTCCAACCTGAGCTCCACCGCCTCCAACCTGAGCTCCACCGCCTCCAACCTGAGCTCCACCGCCTCCAACCTGAGCTCCACCACCTCCAATCTCAGCTCCACCACCTCCAACCTGAGCTCCACCGCCTCCAACCTGAGCTCCACCGCCTCCAACCTGAGCTCCACCACCTCCAATCTCAGCTCCACCACCTCCAATCTCAGCTCCACCGCCTCCAACCTGAGCTCCACCACCTCCAACCTGAGCTCCACCACCTCCAATCTCAGCTCCACCACCTCCAATCTCAGCTCCACCACCTCCAACCTGAGCTCCACCGCCTCCAACCTGAGCTCCACCACCTCCAATCTCAGCTCCACCACCTCCAACCTGAGCTCACTACTCCAAGCTCCATCACCCCCATCAAAGCTCCATCACCCTGATCTGCGCTCCAGTGCTCCCCCATCCAAGTTCCATGGCTCTCCCCATCTGAGCTCCAGCATCCCTCAACCAAGTTCCACCCCTCTCCATCTGAGCTCCCTCACCCTGAGCCAGACCCCTCCAGACCCCACAGCATGTCCCAAAGCAACCCACCAAGGGAGGGCAGCACAGACAGATATTTCCTCCTGGCCACCCCAATAGATTTCATTGGGATTTGACCTTCTGGGGCAAACCCCCACTTTCCAGCCCTTCCCATGGCCGGTCCCATCCCAATGAGCAACTCAGAGCCTCCATCCCTGCAGCGCTGAGCCCTCGGTGGCGGCTGGACCAACACCAACCTCTTCCTCCCGCCCTCACCCAACCACCACAGCCTCTCCAAGCTCTTCCCATCCCGGTGGTAGCGCTGGTACCTGTGAGTCTTCTCGTGGGCTTTGCACGCAGCTGGGTCGGAGAAGGCTTTGTTACACTCCCTGCAGGAGAAGGGCTTCTCGCCCGTGTGGATGCGGATGTGCCGCTTGAAATTCCCAGTGTGGGTGAACTCCTTCCCGCAGTCCTGGGGACACACAGGGACAGTGGCACCCGGTGTTCCCGAGGGACCAGAGCCGCCGTCGGCGCTGGGACCAGCCTCACCTCACACTTGTGCGTCACCGAGCCGTAGGCTTTGGACTCGGTCCTGTCGCTGTAAGTGCCTGAACGCAGCAGTCGGGATTCTCCCGAGTTTTCCTGCCCGGAATCAGTGCTCCCAGATTCATTATCCTCAGCGTTGTCCCCGTTTTCCAACCGGGGCTGCTCTTCCTCAGGAATTTTGGCCTCCTCTTCCTCCTCTGCTGTCGTTTCCCCCTCTTCCTCCTTCCCTTCCACCTCCACCTCTATGAAGAGTTAGAAGATGGGGATGGTAAAGACTGAGAGCAGCAGAACCCAAGGGCCTGGTGCTGAGAGCCCTGCCTGGAGCCAGTTTGGGTTTGCAGGTTATCAGCCCTGCACAGGCACAGGAGCATTCCCCAACCCTTCCCAGCCCTGCCCCACAAAAACTGCTCCCAGAGGCTCCTGTGACACCCAGGAGGCAGCGCTGGCCCAGCACACCTCACCCAACAGCATCACTGCACAGCAAACAGGGTCCAAGCCCTGCCCAGGCTCGTTGCAGCTCTGCAGCAAAGTCCCCACTACCCCCTCGCTCCTCAACACACCTCCTGCTCCAGTGCCCTGAGAGATGCTGCCCTGCGCTGCGGGGCTGCTGCTGCTGCTGCTGCTGACCCCGCTCTGCGGGCAGCCAGGACCTGCAGTACTGGGACCCTCTGGTGCGGCAGCATCTGCCCCTGTAAGCAAGAGAGCCCCTCAGGCACCACCAGGAGCACGCTGGCTCCATGCAGCGGAGCCTGGCAGCAGGACAGGGTGTGCTGGGGGGGTGATGCAGGATTTGGGGTGCCAGCCCTTGGTGCTCACCTTCCTGGGCACCAAGCTGCTCCGCCTGTGCCTTGGGAGTCTCTTCCTTCCCCTCCAGGTCAGGAGGAGCCAGCTTGGGTTTGTCAGGGTCACCCCCTGCTTCTGCTGCTGGTGGCTTGTCCTCGATGGTCACTTTGTCAGCTGCTGTGAGGGAAGAGGCAAAGAGATCCAGCGTCTGCTGCCCAAGCAGGGACACCCCACCGGCTAGAAGGATTGAGGATCCCATGAGGATTGAAGGAATTGTTTCAACTGCTGGTGCTGCACGAGGAGACCTGGATGTCCCTGTGCACCAGATGGACCCAGGATGTGGGTTTGGAAGGTGGCCAGAGAGTGTGGCTGTGTTCTGGGACCATTCCTGGGCTGTGCTCACAGCCCAGAACCCCCCCGCCCACCGTGTGCTGGGCTGCACCCCCAGAGCATGAGCAGCAGCTCAGAGAGGGGAACCTGCCCCTTGACTCTGACCACATAAGACCCCACTTGCAGCACTGTGTGCAGTGCTGGTGTCCTCAGCATAAGGACACAGAGCTGATGGAGCAAGTCCTGAGGAGGCCACGAGGATGCTCAGGGGCTGGAGCACCTCCTGTATGGAGACAAGCTGAGAACACTGGGGCTGTTGAGCCTGGAGAAGAGAAGCTGCGTGGAGACCTCAGAGCAGCTTCCATGTCTGAAGGGGGCTGCAAGGATGCTGGAGAGGGACTCTTCATCAGGGACTGTAGTGACAGGACAAGGGGTGATGGGTTCAAACTGGAACAGGGGAGGTTCAGGTTGGAGATAAGGCAGAAGCTCTTCTTTCCTGTGAGGTGCTGAGGCGCTGGCACAGGGTGCACAGCGAAGCTGTGGCTGCCCCATCCCTGGCAGTGTTCAAGGCCAGGTTGGACGCAGGGGCTTGGAGCAAGCTGCTCTAGTGGAAGGGGTCCCTGCCCGTGGCAGGGGTTGGAGCTGGGTGAGCTTTAAGGTCCCTTCCAACGCCAAACCTTTCTATGGTTCAGACTCTTGGGAAGCAGGAGGGTACGTACTGAGCTCGGCAGGGGGCTGTGGGCTCTCTGCTGGCACAGCAAGGGACTTGAGAGCATTGCACGCGCTGACAATCTCCTGCATCTGGAGGAAACCCGCCACAGCCAACACATCTTCCACGTTGTCAGGGCTCAGGCTCAGCTTAGCTGTGTACATGAACTCCAAAACCTGGCCCAGGCCTGCAAGGGAGGCGACGCAACCAGAAAACACCCTCTGAGCACGCAGCCCCGCAGGGCTGAAAAGCCCAAAGCGTGTGAAGCAGCAGGCCCTGGGCACCAAACCACTGTGCTCCAGCAGCTCGGAGGGATGTGGGATAACCCCCCCCCTACCTGCTGCGTTGCTGATGTCCAGGTGCACCACGTCCTTCTGGTCGACGAAGAGCATCCTGAAGTACTCACTGCAGGCCGCCAGCACGGCTTTGTGGGCCTTGAAGTTGATGCCGTCCACCACGAAGGTGCAGTCGCAGAGCAAGCCCAGCTGCCGCTGCTGGTTCAGCTGCTCCAGGACTTGGCTGCTGTGCTGGGGGAAATCCATGGCTGTGGGGAGGAAAAAGAACCCGTAAGTGCCAGGAAAAGGGGGTGAAGGCGGGTTCTGAAACGCTGATACCACATCAGAAAGGGCCATGAAGCAAAAGGAGCCTGAAGGTCGGTGAAGGACCAGATCTCAAAGCCACAGATCAACCACAACCTGACCTCACTGCTAGCTGAAAAACAGAGCTTCTTGCTACAGCCACCTGCTTCCAGCACCAAACACAACCCAAAACCTCTCCTGGAACAGCCACAACACCAGCACAACACCCTGGCTGGAGAGAGACGCCATTCAACAGTCAATGCATTTTTTGCCTTCAAACAGCATTTAAACCACATTGATTACACCTCAAGAGGTCCATGCTATGAGCAGGAACCCTGTTGCCTCCCTGTTGCTATCATCCCTTTGGTGAGCAGAGGGTGCCACTGCTCCCTCCGAGGGCACAGCATGGAAAGAGTTATCCAAAGCTTTAAGTTCCGGCTCATTTTAGGTGCTTCTGTCGTGATACTGAGGGATTTTCACCTTGCACTGCGTGTTTAAAGGGAGCTCTCCCTGCTTGAAGCACGGCTTTGCCTCAGCAATGCTGCAAACTCCCAGGAAAACCACAAAAGGCCATTTTTCAAGCAGGTCCTTGTTGGCAAAGCTTGAGGGGCACCATGAGCTTGATGCACTGCCACGTGTTGGGTTTTCTCCTGAGGGCAGAGAATGAAGAGCTTTCGCCTGGCTTTGTTTCCCCAGAACTGGTTCATGCGCGGGCTGAAGGGATCATTTCATCACTTGCTGAGCAAGCAATGAGCAAGGAGGGAGGAGAAAGCAAATGGGGACTTGTTACTGCTCAACTTGCCAGGGCAGGAAGTCGCCAGAGCTCTGGATGCTGGAAGAAACAAGGCTGTGGTCAGAGAAACGTGCCTGGATTCGATGCTAAGTCCATGCTCGGTGTCTCTCAGAAGGTTTCCAGCACACAGCAGTTGCTGTTCCACTTTACCAGCTCCTTAAAGCAGCTCAGGGAGTCTCGGGTCAGGGAAAGGCAACAGGTTTGGATCCATAAAACCAGGTTAATTCCCAGCAGCAGCGAGCACGGCCCTTCTGGATCCATGTGAGTGCGCACAAGTGCACAGCGGGCGAGCACCGCGGGCAGAGGGAGCCTCCTCCTGTCTGCTGGGAGTGTTAGCAACACACTTGGTGAAAGAACTTCTGGCCAAGGATCAGTCAGCTTCCAACATCATTCCCAGCAGGAGTGAGGAGCCCAGACACCTCCAATGTCATCAGATCACGCAGAGAGATTCACTCCCTAAAGGTGCTGGTTGTCTTTGTAATTCATCACAGAATCCCAGACTGGTTTGGGTTGAAGGGACCTTAAAGCTCCCCTAGCTCCAACCCCTGCCACAGGCAGGGACCCCTTCCACCAGAGCAGCTTGCTCCAAGCCCCGTGTCCAACCTGGCCTTGAACACTGCCAGGGATGGGGCAGCCACAGCTTCTCTGGGCACCCTGTGCCAGCGCCTCAGCACCCTCACAGGGAAGAGCTTGCGCCTAAGAGCTCATCTCAGTCTCCCCTCTGGCAGGTTAAAGCCATTCCCCTTGGCCTGTCCCTACATCCCTTGTCCCAAGCCCCTCTCCAGCTTTCCTGCAGCCCCTTTAGGCACTGGAGCTGCTCTCAGGTCTCCCCTTCAGGAGCCTTCTCTTCTCCAGGCTGCCCCAGCCCAGCTCTCTCAGCCTGGCTCCAGAGCAGAGCTGCTCCAGCCCTCGCAGCATCTCCATGGCCTCCTCTGGCCTCGCTCCAGCAGCTCCACGTCCCTCTTGTGCTGCTGCCCCAGAGCTGGATCAGAGCTGCAGGGGGGGTCTCCCCAGAGCACAGCAGAGGGGCAGGATCCCCTCCCTGAGCTGCTGCTCACGCTCTGGGGGTGCAGCCCAGCACAGGGGGGGGGTTCTGGGCTCAAGCACTCACTGAAGCCAGGTCATGGGGAGCTTCTCACTGACCAACACCCCCAGGTCCCTCAGGGTTGC